CCGGGTCCTCAGACTGACTACTGCCAACCCAAGGGTTAAACTGTTTTGGATCATAGAATCCAAAGCCAATGACCCTCTGCTAAAATGTACAAAAACAGGCAGTTTTGGCTACAGTTTCAGAGGATGTAGACATTCACAGATATGCAAAGGATCCATGGATGGGGAATTAGGAACTCCTGCACTAGCTAATTCTGTGAGAACCCAATGCGGCTCATCAGCTGTCACTTATCCTTACAATGGCCACAAGGAAGGAGTATAGACCTAACACTATGGTACTGATCAAAGAACCTGAGACTCAGAGAATTAGGTAATTTATCCAGTTACAAACGTGGAAAACAGGAATAAAAACCCAGTTATTTTACCTTTAAGGTAATCATAAAACTAGCTATTTATGATTCCAAAGTTTCACATGGCCTCCTCTTGACATTCAAATATCCCATGCAAATGATAGAAATTCTCTGAGCCCATCTCCTCACATAAAATTACCCAGCTGATGAAGGGGGTATAATGGGTGGTTTCTAAGATGTCTTCCTGCTCTTATATTGTCAGTCCTATGTGGAGGAATATTCTAAAACTTAGATACAGAATAGAAAGAACAGTGTTGAAGGTGCCAACTTTTAGACAGCAGAGCACAGACAACCAGATCACAATCAACTGACAAACAAGACTGGGACCTTTATAATCTCAATTACTAACTTTGAGGTAAAAAGTAAATGCAAAGGCTGGTACCCAGCTTGTAGTGTAAGTATCTACTCGCCACTCATTAATCTCTGTGTGTATAATTTTAAAATCATATGTAGTGTTACAATTCTATTAGAATATTATTCTTTGAGTATTCTCATTTCAGTTTAATGTTTCCAAAATATATTACATTTTCAGCAGCCCTGGAAAAATAATGTTATAGAAAACTGGGTAATTAATGGTTAGGGGCTAGGTGGCTTAGCTAGTGACAATGAGTGAAGGACTGGTGAGAAATACTTCAGAAGCTGAACTGAAAAAACACGGTGACAAGTATACAAAAGGGAGGCATTCCTTCTTTCCTATCTGTCTTTGATACTGAACATAATGATGCCACTGAGATAGAACAGAGGCATAAGATTAATAAAACTGGGTTTGGTTAAGTGGGTGGAGATAATGAGATCAGTAGCTCAGTGCACAATTTACTGGGTTTAGAGATGCCCTCCTGAGACATTCAAATAGGGATAAACTCTAAGGCCTGGAATCAAAAGATATCAGGACAGATTTATGAGTTGTGAGCATAAATATGGTAGTAGAATCCATATAGAAAGAAGGAGCAGCAGAAAGGATCTAAGAATATCAACATTAACAGGTGAGTGAAGGTGACCAAGACACAGGAAATAAAAACGGGACTGTGAGGGCAGGCTTTGGAAAGCTAAGGGAAAAGAAAGTCTAAAGAGGAGGGGGTGATGAACAGCAGCAAATGCCACAGAAAAGGCAACATATGAACAGAAAAATACATTGGATTTGGCATTTAGTGACTTTGTGACAAAGCTGAGGGGTAAAAATGGAAATTTGATTTCAGAAAAAGGTTCAGCAAATGAAATAATAAACATCACTTGTTCAAGAAGTTTAGTTTAACAGAATGTACTTAGCTTTTCTGAATGTACAGTTTTTACTAGATGCTTATGGATAAATCCACTAGTGACTACAAAAATCCTGTCCTTAAGTTCTTATTCAATTACAACATTTTTATATCAAATAAATAATATTAAATGCTCAATAAATGTAAGTTATTTTTCTAGGCACTGTTCTGGATAGGCACATATTTTCTTATTTAATCATCTAATCTTAGAAAGTAGGTAAAATTGTCCCTAATTTACAAATGATACAACCAAGGCACAGGGTAGATAAGAGCAAGCAGTAATATGCCTGTCCAAGGTCATATAGCTAGAGGGATGGTGGTCAAACCCAAAGTTTGACGCAGGATAGTAAGAGGTTGGGAGGACCATGTGTGAAGCAAGTGTTAACAGATGAGAACTGTGAACAGTCTAACTTCTTGCAGTTTAATGTCTATTTAAGAACTTATTTGTAATTTGAAGACATTTTGTGTATTTTCTCATCTCAATCCTACACTGCTAGGGCCTGACATTTTTATGCTTGTTAGGACACTCAGATTCTACACTGCATTATAATATTGTTGTTTCTCTTAATTGAATTGCAAGTTGCTTGAAAATGGGGCTGTATAGTATTCATCTTTGTGTCCCTATTCCCCCAATCTTAAAAAATAGAAGATACTCAGTAAAGGTTGATTATGTGAATAATCCTTTCTGCTTTTCTAAAGTTTCTGGGGGATTCAATAAAGTATTTTTTTGGTCTTTAATTGCTTGTAGGATTATTGTCTCTTAGATAGTAATTACCTGGATTGTCTATGTTCAGAACACTTTTGGATCACTCTATTTGATTTGGGTGAAAATGCTCGTTTAAAGTAAAAATCAAATTTTCCTGGGTAAAGCCTTTTAAAGGTTCTCTGTCACCTACTGGTCAAAGATCACAGACCTGTTCTCTAATCTTACTACTAACCTACCCTGCCTGGCTCCACAAACCAAACCACCTGTACTTCCCCTATGGTATACTGCAATACACCACTGTACTTCCCCACTATGTGCGCACCAGGCAAACACAGACACAGCAGATACTCTTTCCTGAGGCTTCTCATATTTGCAATTTTTATTTTCTATTTTGCTCCCTCCCTTATACTTTAAATTTCCTAAAAACAAACTCCTTAAGGCAACACTCTTTTTTATCCTCAGGTCTAGCAAGTAGCAGCTTAATAAGTGTTTTATAAATGTTTATCAAAAGACAAATTACTAAAGCATAATTCAGGACATCTGCTGATACTACAGTGACTCATTATCAAAAGTACAGATTTCAGGTTTTCCACTACCAATAATTATGCACTTCTCTATTTCATCTCGTCCCATAAATTTGTGAATTCAAGATAACTCACACCTTTACCAGCTAATCATCATCACCATTGCCAAAGACACAAAACAGCCGCTCAGAGTATGAAAACCCTTTGTGTCCTGAGCAGTCAAACCAGTAAGGCATATTCACAATCTTTGTAAGATACAGAACATCATTATATACAAAGCTTTGCTCCAATTTAAGCCTGTAAATGAATTACTATCACACAAATCTGTGTCAGTGTCTCATCTTTTTTTCTCCAGGTGCATACACACAGAAGGCACCCAAATGTCTACTTTTATAAAACTTGTGTCATAGCCAGCTTTGTACAAGAGCAGGTATGTCAGGTTTCTGGAGACCCAAGAATATAATCCGACTTTGTGCTGGCCGTGAGCCTTTGACAAATCATCTCAACAGTTTACATTTTAGTTTTCTCATATATTGCCTCAGCATGTTTGGGATGTAATGTGCTTTAACAAGTCTTGTCACAAGGAGCAATGTGTTATGAGGAGATCTTCACATTTCATCCTAGAATAACTAAGTCTTTGCAGTTATCTTCAAGCTGCTTCACTCTTGTTACTTAATCCTGGGGTTTTATTATCTTCATTGTACAGATGGGGAAAGAGAAGGGTATAAAATGACTTGGCTGAAGAGGCCCAGCAAGTCACTGAGAGACCTCATTTCAATACCAGTTCCTAGTCCTCTTTCAAAGAACCATTTTGTTTGAGAAACTTCACTGACATTAGGCAGAACAGTGTGTCAAATAAATTATTAGCTTTTACTTGTTTAGTTTCAATGAATAACCTAAGCTTCCTAGGCCTGTAGGTTTGGTTGCTCTAAGATTTGAAGGAATTTTTAAATTTTGTTGATGGAATTCAAGTTGATAAACCTACCCCTAACTTCTAAATTTCAGGATAGCTTGAAACTTTAAAGGTACTTTTTTCTCTGTCCAGATCTCTAATTCTTTTCAAATTTTTTTCAATCTCCTAAATGTGTCAAGTCATATCTACCTTCCCAGTTCAGGATCAAAAATGCCAGAATTTTCTTCTCCCTAAACAGTAAACCAGTTGCTCCAGTCCCTTGAAGGATCCAAGGTATACATCATTTACAACCAATTCTAGATGTGGACTTTCATTTCAACTGTTAGGGGGCCCAGCAATTTCAAAGCCCAGGAATCCCCCACTCTTATAGCTCTGAACCCCTCTCCCAGGGGTGCCCCTTCTAATCCTCACCCTATGAGGGGGTCAAAAAAAGGAATTTCAAATAAGATTCAAGAAGAACCGCATAAGCGTCACAAGTAGTAAGAATTTGGGAATTCCAACTATGGACTTGAAATGGAGTTAATAATGTAAAGATTTCCAATATTACACGTGCTGAGAAAGAAATTATTGAGCAGATTCCATTTCCTGAGCCCAAGTGACTTGCATAACTAGGCGATGAGCAATAGGCAAGAGAGCTCACCATTCAGTTTACTGTACTTTACTATAAAATTCTACACCAAAATATTTTCACACATGCCTGCCTCTTAGATGACGTAAGTTCTTCCCCTAGGTTTTTAATTAGCCCACTAACGGGGTTCTTGCCCTGCAGCGGCCTCGGGCCACCCAGTAACTCATTCTAACCGCCTCTCGCGCCTCACGCTAACAAACCACGAAGCCCGCACGCCCCGCAGCCTCTGCCAAGGAGACACCGCAGCCCCGAACTGGCCGTCCCCTCCTCCTCTCGTCCCCGCGTCGCTCGTCAACCCACGGCAGGCGCCACCCTCTCCATCCCGGAGAGGGTTTGGGGCTCTCCGGGCCGGAAACCTCTCATGGTCGCAGCGGGGCGACAAGCCAGCGGGCGCGGTCTCCGAGCGGGCACCTACCTTCCACCTCCTCCTCCAGGAGCGGCCGGGGTCGGAGGTCGCCCGCCTCCTCCAACGGCCCCAACGGCGGCGCAGAGCCTCCCTCAGAGAAACCGGGAGCCGAGCCAGGTGCCTGCGCTCACCTCCGCACCCACCCTCCCGCCCCGGGCTCCGCCGGCGCCCCTCCTCGGGCGGGCACGTCACAATCCCCGCCGCGGGGCAAGGTTCTCACCGTCACAGCCCCGGGAACGGTGGGAAGCCACCGCCCGGCGTCCTAACACCGGCCAGTGCAGCCTCGCGGCCCCGCACAGGCGCGGCGACAAGCAGCGCTCCGTGACCGGGCCTCGCCTCTGCCGCGGGCTCCCGCCTTCCCCGCCCCCGGCCAGGATCGCCCCGCCCCTCGCGGCCGCCTCCCCGCCTCCGCAGGTTTGAGCGGTTCCCACCCCGCCCCCGCACCGCCCGCGCCGCCGGCTCAGCCGTCTCCCATTGGCTCCGCCAGTTGCTAGGCGATGAACAACCGTGGCCTGCATTGGTCCTGTGGGGGGTCCCGGAGTCCCCTCCCCACCTTCCAAAAAAACCCAGAGAAAAAGAAAACCTTATCCCTAGAGCCCGAGCGGGGTGCGGACGCAGCTGCGGCTGCGGCACCTGTTACGCCCTGTGATTCACCCTGCCGAGCCCTGGCCCCCTCCCCCTCCTCTCGCCCGCAGAGCTCGGGGCCCCCGGCTCCTTGGGGGGGGGAGTCGTAGCTGCTTTAAAGCACATGTTCCGAGCCTCAGTGAACCCCAACACCCACCGTAGGATCAACAGTGAAGCTCCCAGAAGAGCCACGTGCGCTAGCAAAAGTAGAGAATAAACCAAACAGCCGGCACCTAGAATTAGGTCAGGCCCAGGGGAAAGGAGGTTCAAGCGTCTGAAATGGTGGATGCAAACAACCCAACCAGGACCAGGAGAAAGTTACATGTAAAATTAGGTCAAACACCGAGGCAGAAGACAGCGTGAAGAAATGGCACTCGTGAACTATATGTTTATGCAAAAATGTCCCGCACCCACTCGACAAAATATGTGCAATGAAAATGTATGCCTGCTGCACCCCTAGCTCGGGTCAGGCCGGCTCCCTCCCCTGTTCCATGTCAGCCTAAAATTCTCCAGGGAGGAAAAGGGACAGGAGAAAGTAAAGAGATCAGATGGGGAAGTCGCAGATGCATACGAGCTGAGTTATAAACACAAAGATGGACTTTGATGGATTTTTTTTTCAGTGAAGCCAAGGGATTTACTCAAGAGGAGAAAAACAGGTTTGGTATTTTAAGGAGGCTCCCGAGACAACTTTAAACCAAAATAGTATGAGACAAGAAGAAATATTAACACTGAAAAGGCAGGGAGGAGTGCCCCCTCACAATTTACATGCACATATCCCCAATCCTAATGAAAGATCAAGGCAACAAAGTGAGCACGCCATGGTGACTTCAGAGTCCACGGAAATTCTCCTCTTTCCCTTTGGCCTAAGTGTTCAGGAGGACCGGCAAATGCTGTTAAAACAGAAGTGAGTAACTTGTTTGTCATTAACTTGTTAGGGCCCAATGGTATTGTAACGACTCTTTTAGCACTGGGCTGGTGGGGAGGAAGAAAATGATTATTACCAATGAGTACCTTACTCCCTAACCCAGACCAATAATGGGGGATGGGGTGGGGGTGAGGGTGGCTAGCCGTAACCCCAAGAGGAGTTTTGAAATTTCACCTGAACATCTCTCCAAATGCCACACCCTTTCCATTTTAAGCAACTTAATCTGACAGTAATTCTTTCAAAGAACACTTAGACCATTTCACCTCCCAATGAAAAAGCCGGTGCTTACTCTTTGATTAGTTAGAAGCGTTGAGATGAATGAGGAGCATCTGACACACCCTCTTATGACCTAACCACCAACAGAGTGGAATTTTAAGAAGGTTTGGATCAGGCTGGATGACCTCTGGAAAGTTCGGCCCTTCTCCTACCCCCAAGAATGAATCTGATCTATCTGAATAAACGAGATGTTTTCAATCTTTTGGTTTCAGGACCCATCCCTTTCCACTCCTAAAAGTTACTGAAGGACCCAAAGAGCTTTTGCTTATGTTTGTTGTAACTATTGATATTTACCATTCCAGAATTAGTGTCTAAATAATTGCTTCATGTTTTAAAAATATTTGTTTAAAAAATAAAATGCATAAACCTTAACATAAATAGCATATTTATGTGAGAAATACCTCTTCCCCAAAAAATAGAAAAAAGGGTGGTGGTACTTAAAAAATTTGCAAATGTCTTTAATGTTTGGCTTAATGGGAAACAATTGAATTTTCATACCTGCTGCATTCAATCTGTCACACAATTTCAGGTCGCCTTTGGAAAATACTGTACACTTATAAGAGTATGGAAACAAAAAAGGCAAATAACATTTTATTATATAAGTCTGGGGAAAGGAAATTCTGAGGCAAAATACCTCTAAAACCCGAAATCCATCAAAGGGAGAAGTAAAGTTTAAAATCCGTTTATTGCTTACAAACTGCAGTCACCAGCCTGCTCTCTCTCCTGCTCCAGCAGAAGCAAAATTGCCCCTCCCCTCACCTCTCAGGTACAGATAAGCCCTCCAGTTTGCCTAGGTAATTAACCATTGATATGGAGATGAATTTCTCTCCACCCCTGAGGAATGATGCAAATGCACTAAAGCCATACTTCTCTCCATTCTTGAGTGCCTGTTGATATGCATATGTACTAAGGCCAGGTGAGATATTCTGAAAATACTACAATTTTACCCACAATTATTATAATAAAAATAATTTTGAATGTTTTTGCAGACTCATTGAAAGGGTCTTGGGGATTGCCCTCCCTCAGGGTTCCTCAGATTACACTTTGAGAACCATTGGTCTAAACTCGGTCCCCGATTGTCAATGACTGGTTTAGGAGCTGAGCATGTGAGGTAATTCTTGAAAGGGCAAGCTCCCAGATTCTATTTCAGCCAATTGGGACCCGGATCCTACCTCAGCCAATCAGGACCTGGATCCTGTTTCACCCAATGGAGCTTGGTCTCTCTCCTCTCCAGTCAGCAAAGAGCTCACCTTTAGACCCTGCCAATTGACCAGAGCCACGACCTATCGCCCCACCAACTGCCCTAGAACCCCATAAAACCTTTGTAGTATTGAAACTCGCTGTCTTTCTCTGGCATCTTGCCACTGTGATGGTGTAGATAAGAGATTGAGCTCGAGCTAGCTCAAATAAAGGCTCTTTGCTTTTGCATTGGTGTTGGCTCCTTGGTGGTCTTCTGGGATTCGCGACTTCGGGCACAACAATTCTGGTGAATACATAATGAAGAGTGGTGTTAGGAGGCTTCAGGGGAACAGTTTTATCCCGAGAGCCCATAAGAAGTCTTCCTTATTTCTTGCCTTGGCCATATTCCAGTGAGCAAGACAACTTTGGAGCTGTGGTGGCATCTCCTGCACCAGTGAAAGAAAAGCAAGAAAAATACAGCAAAGGCAACCCAGGACCCAGAAGTCACTGAATGGTTAAATTAACCTGCTCTGGCTCTGCATACCTCCAGACTGCTTCACCTGGGGTAGTGTAACTCCGGGGGGAGATATCCCGGGGCCAAATACCTTTGAAACCAAAATCAGTCAAAGGGAGAAATAAATTGGGAGAAATCCATTTATTTCTTACAAGCAATCTTCCCATGTCTCTCTCAACTAGGCTGCAGAAGAGCCCCACCCAACTCTCTGGTCCAGATATGCCTGTGTAATTACCTATTGATATGGAGATGTCTACCTCTCACCCCTTGGAAACACCTATTGATATAAAGATGCACTAAAGCCAGGTGAGAGATTCTGGAAATACTGCAATGTTACCCACAGAGAGTAAAATGACCAATTTGTTAAGCCATTTTGGGTCACATATTCAGTTACTTGCAGACAAGAAGTTCCTGACTAACATACGGGACGAGATAAAGAATTTGGCTGCAGCCTGAAAATAGTCTAAGGACATTTTTAGCACAGGGCTACCTGCATGGGCAAGTTAGAACTTTGCTATGGAAAGGAAAGATAAAGGGGAAAGACAAAACCTGGATTTTTTTTTCTTTTAATGCTTTTTATTTTACTTCTGTTAGAGAAGTAAGGGGATGTGAATATCAAATGTTGCTTCTTCAAACACATTGAAATTCCACCCTTGTCCCTCTGTAGGCTATATCACAGTTGTCAGAGCTATTCTTTTAAAATATAATTCAGATCATGTCACTTCTCTGCTTTGGCTCCTTCTGTCAATGTTAAAGGCAAAATGTTTCCATGACTACAAGGTTCTTATGACCTGCCCTCCATCTCCTTACCTCTCTGACCTCATGTTCTACAACTCTGTCTCTTACTCAACTAACCATTAGCTGCCTCACTGTTCTTCCATCTTGCCAGGCACATTCCTGCCTCAGGGCTTTTGCATTAGCTATTCCCTCTGTTTGAAGGTTCTTCTTCTTAACATCTGTGTTACTTATCTCTCCTGTTTCAAGTCTCCCAAAGTCACCTTCTTTGTGAGGCTCAACCTAACAACATTACTTAAAACTGGAACTCCCCTCCAGCTTTCCAAATCTTCCTTTCCTTATTTATATAGAGTTTACTTATTTTGCTTGTTTGGTCCATCTCCCTTCACTAGGATGTAAGCCCAGCAGATACAGAGATTTAATCTGTGTGTTCACTGATGTATACCCAGTGTCTAAAAACAATGCCTGGTACTTAGTAGTTGGTGCTCAATAATTACTTGGTGAATAAAATGAACGTAATTTCAAGTGAATGGTTTTCATTAAAAATAATCACCGTGGAGGGCTATATACATATTCCAGTGCTCAGAGGTATCACATCAGTAGGCAATGAATTTTCTTAAAAGACTTCTTTTTTGAAAATCTGATTTTGGGAACATTCCAAAGTTATTCAGAACCAAATCTAATGAACACATTCTTGAGCCATGTTAAAATGCCAAGCCTGTATTTTTCAACTAAGTTACTACATTTGGGTGGATATGGAAAGGTCAGAAACTAAGATGTGTTTGATTCCTAGACAGACAATAAACTGAGTCTGATCGTAACTTCAAAAAGGAGTTCTAAAAATGTTCACCAGTACAAGTTGCAGAAAAAGTATATATATATGTGTATTTTAAACTCTATGTGTTTGTGTATATGGGTAAATGAATCTCTCCCAACTTGTCTGCAGACTTCCATTCTTGCACCCATTACATCAGAGTGTTTCAAGAATGAAAATCAGATCTTCCCCCAAAATAAGAATCCTCCACCCCTCTCCCCTCAACTAAGAATCTCCAATGGCCTCTCATGTGTTCATCATGAAATTGAACTTCCTACCTAATCTGGCTCCCT